TCGAGAACAAATTATCCAAGCATTAGCTGCATAAAATTTAAAAACTATAGAAATATTATTGGGGCTAAAACGAATGCCGTAATGCACCGAATTATACCGCCTTAAAGGCCTCAATTCAAATGAATCAAAAAGTTCTCGCGCGGTTAATTCCAGGCGAAACAACAACAAAAATCAACGTCTGGGCTATCAAAATTTATGAATGGATAAAGCAAAATCAGGCGAAAACCCGACAAAAGGCAAGACAGAGGAAAATACAAAAAAGTATTAATAAAAAGGCAAGTAAAATAAGCAAACAAAACGAAAATCACAAATAGTAAGTGAGTACAAAGTGGCGTGCATATGAAATATAAAACAGGCGATATATCCAACTACAAACGCACACGTACACACATAGGTACCTACATACAATTGTGTGTGTGTGTACCTCTGAATATGAATGAATGAAAAATTGTAGAAGCAGCACAACCGCAACAGCAACAACAATAAGTTGTTAACGCAGCACTTCCACGAACCAAAAAAAAAACCCAGAGCCCCCCAAAAAAAAAACACCAACGACAACCGCAGAAGACGGGGTGGGGTAAAAAAGATCTGTGAACAAGAAATTTGAAAGGTAACAAAAAACTGAAATTAAAACAAAAAACTTAAAATCAGAAACACGAGCAAGTGTGTGTTGGCAACTCGTTTTCCAGTTTTCCATTTTTCCATATGCAGCAGCTGCCCACAAATTGTGCGTCGAGTGGCGGCGAAGGGGGGGTGGAGTGGAGGGGTGGGGGCTGGAAGGGGGTGGTGCCTGGAATGGAGGGGGGTGGAGGTGTAGGGAGGGGAGTTCAAATTATGAATAAATAAGAAGTTGGTCCAAGAGCAAACAGCTAAAAATCAAAGCAAATACACAAAAACAATGAAAACAAAACTGAGAACACTGTGTAGTTGCAGTTCAGATACCCTTGCTGGAGTTCTAAATGTAGCCAAATAATATTGACTATTATATTTTTTCAAACATACAGTATTATTATGTCCAAAGTTACTGAAGAGCATTTTTAAATCCTACTTTCGGTTTCAAACATGCAAGATTTTCAGAATCTCAGCGATAGGTAACAAAATGCTATCGGAACCGTTATACCCTATACTACAGGGTATGAAAAGGCAACGACGACTGCAGTTGGATTTTGAGCCAAAGTCGACGCGCCCACGGGCAGCGACTGAAAAGAAGAAGAAGGAGCAGAAGAGAAGCTGGAGCAGCGATAAAGAGGAGCCCCAAAGACAAAGCCCGAGAACAAGAAGAAGAGCAAGAAGCCGGTTTGCAGGAACAAGCCTAGAAGAAGAGGAAGAAGGAAGAGGAGCGCTGGGGCGGGGGGAGTGGCGGTGGGGCACTGCAGGCACACGCAAAAAAGGAAGGAAACAAACATCAAGCCCCAATGACAGAGGAAGCAACCACAACCACAACAACAACAACAAATGGCCGTGGAAGAAAGGGAGACAGCCGCAACAAGATCCACTCGTCGCTGCCTCTTATTCCCCACTTCCAATCCCATTTCCATTTCCATTCCCCCATTCATCAACTGCATTTTAATACTTTTTTGGTTGCCTTTGCTTTTTTTTTGTATTTTTTCCCTTCGTTTTATTAGTCGAGAACCAACTAGTTTTGTTGTTTTTGGTGCCTGGCGAGTATGAATGAAAACGAACGTGTTTCTGGGAGAGCGAGAGCCCCAAAAAGAGAGCGGGAGAGCGCTGGGGAGCAGCGACGCCGGCAGCGACGTCGGCAGCGCGGGGATGAATGAAATGAGCAGCAAAATGAATGAAAGTTGTGGGGCTCGCGCAGTCGACGTCGCTGCCAGCGTCGACGCCAGGCTCTCCCGATCTCCCTACCTCTCTCTCTCTCTCTCACTCTGTCATTCTCCTGGTGCAGAGAATTTGAATTTTTGATATTTTTTATACAAATCATAGCGCACAATTTAATATGCGAAAATATAATTTGCTTTATTTATTGTTTCGTTTTGTTTGCTGCGTTTCGTTTTGTTTCTTGTTATTGGCAAAGTTTATGATTAATGAGAGATGATTACGGCGTGTGAGTGTGCGTGCGTGAATGTACTTTTGCATCTGTGTGCGCGTATAATTAAAATAAGGGCAGCCTTTTGCATACACTTGCAAAAAGCAAAGGAAATATTTTTTTAAAATCTCTAAGATTTCAAATCAGTTTTACTATAAATTAAAACCGTTTCAGAATTTATTCACTCATTAAATTTGCAGATAGTCGCAATATTATTAGTTTTTTATTACATTTAGTTTCCCACGTTTTCACGCATTTTGAATACTTTTAGATATCAGGGCGACCCTTATGCTAAGTGTATCTTTGTATCTTTCGTCCGTATAATGTAAACTAAATTTACGTGCCTGGCTCCCGATCTTTTTTCTCTGCTTCTTCTGGCCCGCGATGTTCCCCCTTTTTTATGTGCCATCCCCATTTTCCATTCAGCATCTGCGCAGTTGTCGCCGTTTTTGCATGTTTTTCCCCCCGTTTTTTTCGGCCTTTCTGTTTCTGTTTTAGTTTTTGTGATTTTATATTTATTTTTTGTTTCTGTTGCCATTTTTATGGCCGCGATCTTCTAGCGACGAGCGAAAAGTTCAGGCTGCCAGTTGTTTTCGCTAAGGGACTCGCCTGGGTCCCACATACAAATGTACATACGTATGTATGTGTGTTTGTACATACGTGTAAAACATGCACAGATATGTAGGGTTGTTTGTGCACCATATAGGCGCAATGGGGTGGACCTTCACAGAAACTACAATGTAATTGCACTAACTAGTTACAACTTTTTATCCAAATAATACCACACTGCGTATGAGCAATGCTGTTGTTTTTAACTTTTCCCACGCAGTCATAAAATTCAACCCGCTAGTGCATTGTTCCATTTAAATATATTTACAACTTAAATGTAAACCATCAACATAGTATAAACTTAGTATAAGATATCTACTAAATTTACGATCCCCATTACTACAGCGAATTGAGGTCCACCCTTGGTAGAGCACACATTTGTATATTTAGTTGGGCACTGACTTTAGTCTTGGGCTTGCGTTGACATTGAAATTGTTTGCGCTTTGTTGATCTCTACGCGGCGATAAGACATAAATACATAAATACTTTTTACGTTTTGGGGTTCTTTTCTTTCGGTAACTGCCTCGATTTTTGGGCCAGGCAAGAAAAAAAATAAACACCAAAGAAGATTTGTATTATTTGTTTTTATAAACATTGAATAGCTTTCAAATCGTTTCAGTTCCACCGATTTGCACAGATGGCAGTGCATTGAGATATTTTTAAAAATCTCAACTGGCTCTACTTTGCTGCAAAACCGAATTCAATACATAAACACTTTATAATATTAAATTACATTTCTTGCAAATGGTTTAAATCTTTGAAAATTCCCCAAAATATGCGCCTTTAATTCGCAGTAAATGGTAATCAAAAGAATGCAGTGCTCCTCAGAGAGATATTAAATTTGCGTTTAAGTTTCGACATCATCATACCCCAAAGACTGAGTACTATCCGAAAAAAACCGAGAAATTCCCATTATTAACACATACTCTGTACATTGTTCTCGCTTCGCAAACAACAGGGCAAAAGATGCATAATAAATTACCATAAAACGTTGTCCGATACATGAAATCTCTTTCTGCCCCGCGACTGTGTGTGAAATAATAGATAAAGTATACTAGACACATGCCATAGGAAAAGCAACAGCAAAACCTTAAGATATTTTGTCACATTACGTATACGAAGAGTTGGCAGAGTGAGTGAGTGAGTGAATGACTGACGTATTGCCTGATTGACAGAGAAAAGGTGGCACTGCACATTTTGAGATACACTCGTATTTATTTTGAGCGTATTTCAAATGCAAATGTATTCCGCGCGCAGAGATCTCTGTTCGTTTTCCATTCGTAGAGGAGCATTCAAAGGAGCAAATGAGTGAATGAATGGGTGAATGAATAAGTGAGGGAGTGACTGACTGAATGAATATGTGTCCGCAAGTTAACTTGGCACTTCGCCGGGGGCTTTTGCATGGGGAGTGGTTAGTGGGGATCGGGGATTGGGGATTGGGGATTGGGGTTTGGGAGTTCAGGAACGGGGGGCTGGGCCCACCGGAAACAAACGACGTGACTTTTCACTGAAATATTAAACCAACTATGCGTATGCTTGGGAATTATGTTTGTTTCAACGGCTACATTATAATAATCACAGACGATCCTCCACACACAATGGCTATATCTTTCTTTGGCATTATTTCTTTTTATATAGCTCTTTTTTTTTTTGTTTTACCAGTAACACGCTTTTGTCGGCTTATCTTATCGCCAAATTATTTGGCCCGCTGTTTCGTTCACTCTCAGTGTGTTTTTGCCATTTTATCGCTCGGTTCAAAAGGCAACAAAATAATAATAAAGTCGCAAAAGCAACTGAACATGTATTGATCGGTTGTGACGACTACCACATATCCTTCTGTATTAATGCATTCTGTGCTTAATTGTTTAAGCTTCTAAAATATATTAGTTCAGCCTCTCGCTTTCTCCACAGCCAGTAAACTAAATAAACTAAGTTAATAGTTTTTGCAATTAAATAAGCTAGGAGAAACCAAGTCATAATTCGAAATAATTCCATTTCTGTTGAATATCTGCCCTGTAAACAAAGCTAATCTATCTCACTAATATACATAAGATATACAAACAGCACTTATGTGAGTCAAGATAGGACTATACGCTCCGCAACTATATAATTGTTGAACATTTGCTCATCAACAACATTTTGCTCTTCAATTATTTCCATTTCTTGGAAATCTGTTATCACAAGCTCCCCAGACCTCGAAGTGCCATATAACAAACAAAATATGAAGTGAAAGAGCAAGAAAAAAGAGCTATAAAGGCCATATGAAACCGATACAGCAAATGGGTTAGCACTTTGCCAAAGTAAACAGTCCGCATATAATATGATATATTGGGTTCTTACGCACCTAATGACGCCTCATGATCTGAAATATCCGACAAGCTGCACAGATCTTTGCATCCATGAATCGGCTCCTCCTTGATGAATATATTTTTCGACTGCAAGAAACATGGAATTCTTTTATTAGTTTAAGTTTTCATGGTTGATTCATTTAGTGACTCATTTGCATTGACTAAGTCATCATTATTCTATGTACTAATATACTAATATTTCACATTTTTGTGTCATATTAGAGGGCCTTCAACAGTGAGCATTCCATATGCATTACTTTACAGTGGGCATACTATTGCACTTATTCATGGTACACACCAAAGTTATTTTCTTATTTCTGTGCTAAAAAGGTGAATTTTTGCATTGCTGCTTAATTAGAAGGCAATAGATTGGGCGCGATCAATCCAACCGCTTTGTTTGTTTTCCCTGGTCAATCACACCAACCCCCCCCCCCCCCCCCCTTGCAATTTGCGTGCTTTAATCAAACCCCCAAGGGGGCTGTTCTCCACCTGCCACCCCCATTATGCCCACCCCCAGCTGCAGCACAATGAGCAAACAGCCAGCACAAGAGGCATCCATGATTGTGTGTTGTACATATTTATAAACAAGCCACTTTTACCCAATTACAAAATGTGTGTGTGTAAGCGGAGGCTCTACGCGACTCAGCGCGGCGGGCATGATAATCAGAGATACAATAGCGCAGAGTCGTGGCATAGATTGCTCCGGCAATTGAGAGTGGCTGGTGGCTGAGGGGCGGACTGCCCCAATGTTGTCCCATGGGTCCATTCGATCGTGTTGAACGCGTTCTAATAAATTGAATTGTACGTTTGACTTGCGCTCGAGCGAGGGGACTTGATCGGCGGGTCCGCCATTAATGATAATGGAGGTCAGCAGTAGTCAAACGGAATGCTTCGTAAATATCGTAATCAATTGCTGAGCGAGTCCCAGCGGAATTCACACACACATTTGGAACCCAATTTTTTGGTGCTCTGCGATCCACAGGTCTTCAGTTACTGCGCTGCACTGGACGTATGATGGAAACCCAAAACTTGGCTCCTTCTACAGGCCAGACACTCCAGATCGGATTACTTGGCTGCATTTTCCAAGCGACTGCGCATGCGCATGTCCTTTTTGGTTTTTCTTGCTGTTCTTTGGGGCTTTGGCTGGGCAGCGGGGAAAGGATCAGCTGGGGGTCAGGCTGTTGGCCCCGAAAGACCGGATGAAAGTGGTCAACGGCTCGGCGGGCCAACGGATATGCTTACCGCAGGCGATGTGTCAAATGCCTTCGGCGGTCGTCACTTTCTTGGGGGGACACACAAAGCATCCAGGGAGTGGGAAAACAAGGGAGTGACCGGTTTGCATAGCCGAACAGTTGGTTACTCTTGGTATTTTGGGAGCTTGGACTAACACCTAACCACACCGAAGTTGGCTAGGATACTACTCTAGCAGCATACAACTTAAATTACTCGGACATTATCTATGGCAACCCAGTGTAAAGTGTCATGAATTTGAAGGGTATCACAAAGGGTACCTTTCCCGAAGGAAAGGGAAGCCTTACGATCTTGCCTGTTTTTTACTTTTTACTTTCTTTGGTCGGAGATACCTACTTTTCAAGGCGTTACCAAGCATTTCCCAATTTTGATCGGGCCTTTTGTCTATGCAGATGCGTCATGAGCCAAGTGGCACGCTTATGGCTTTTATGGCGAATAAACAAAAGATGGCATGCACAAAAGATACCAGTGGAATGCATACGAATGGGCTACACCCTCACTTTGGGTATCCTCCGCTTGATCAGTGATCAGTGACAGATTATGCCATAAAATATACTTAACTGCAAAGTCTCCGCCGAAAAGCAGGGTGTTGCGAATAAAAGCGCAACAAAGCATAATACATAATAATTGCGTTTTGTTTGGTCTACCAAATTTAGAATGCGATCTACGTGATCTGCATTCGCAATGGACAGCGCCCTGTCATTGGGGCTCCAACTGCAGTGGCTGTCAAACTGGCATAGAAACCGATGGACAGCCAATCGATCACTTGATCAGCAAATTCACTTATTCGTAGTTATATATAGAAAATTTAGACTTATGCAGCCATCGATCAACGACGTGCCGTCATTGCTACCTAGTTTTGAATAAGCCAACTGTCGAGCAGTTAAGACTAGTAGCCAGTCATCATAAAGATTATGATGGCCTGGATTAAGTATCAGATATTAAAGCAATCATAGATTGTGAAAGCAAAGGCTTTCAAATACCTTGCACCCACTCGCTGGTCGCCATGGAAATTGCTCAGTTAACAAAGTAGTTTAATGCGATTTTCAAAATTCCTGGACTCACCTCAACTAGGCTGGACAGAAAGGTGACTTTGCGGTTCTTCTTGAGCCTCATGGTGCTGACTTGGCCCGAATGGCTGCTGCTGTTGCCAATGCCGTTCAGTTGGCTGAGGATCGACTGCGGACTGCCGACCGAATTGAGATGGCCGCTGGCCGGCGACTTGAACAGGTGTCCGTTGATGGCGTTCAGATGGAAGAGCTCGTGGGCCGCCTTATCCAGAAAATGGGAGGCCGTGGAGGCGACCGCCGACGAGGAACCAATGGCCGCTGTGGAGGGCAAAGCGGGCGGCAGCATAAATTTTGTGGCAGACAGATCTGTTTTACAAATCGCCAATTCCATATTGCGCAGGCATCTGCAGGAGAGAAAAATCGAATTAATAAAACAAACAATTAGCTGGCTGGCCAATAAACAAATCGCTGCAATTATTAGCCCGCCTGGGCGTGAGGTGTTTTAATTATCGCTCAATTATTGGCTTGTTACCCCACCGCGCCTTATTAGACCTCGTTGGCACCTCCCACTCTGGCGTTCGCACCTCTTTCTTGGCTCAATCCCGCTCTATTGACTCTTGAAATTATGACACTTTTTTCTTTTTCTTTTTTGTGAGCAACAACCCAAGCAACATCAAAAGTGTCCGCCACCTTTGAGACACAACCACAACAAAAGGAGCCGACGGGGCACAGTTTGCATATGAGCACGCTTTTATTTTGTTTACACAGCATCCATCACATGGGTGGATAGGTGGATAGATGGATAGGATGGGATAGGAGAGGATGTGCCAGGTCCACAGCCAATTCAAAGGGTTTCAATTTTCTAAATATATTTCTAATGGGTTTCGTTTCGTTTCGTTCTCTTTGCAGTTCTCAAATATTTGCCCTGGCCAAGCGGCGGTTGATGATCACCAAGCTGTGGATGCGATGTGAGTTTCAAAGAAAACACGAAAAGTTACTTTGAAGTGTCGCCCCACAGAGTTTTGGGCAGGAAGATCACACGGCTTGCTGAAGCAATTGGGTTCTTTCCCTGAATGTCGCCCAATTAGTGGCCTTTGGTTGCCATGTGTCCATGTCTTTATAGCATTGCACAGCATTCCCTGAATCACAAGTTGTATTTAAAGTAATTGCATTCAAATCCGAAACGAATAACAATGAATCTTAGAAACCATAATCACCGGAAGTGGGCTAGATAAGCCCAGAGAAAAGAAGAGCAGTTTCAGAAATCTCGAAGGCCTCTTATGAGGGCTTTTCACAACTGCCCAGCCAGTAGCCACTATAAATAACGCAGTCTCGCGATAAAGTTCAGAAATTACGCATTAAATATATCATACATACTTTAAATGTACTTTGGAATGATAAAAGCTGTTTTGTGATAAATGAAGACAAATAGTTTAACCTAAAAAGGCGATAATCAATGGCACATACTAAACTTAATGTGAAACTTTAAGTTCTTGGAGTACAGATGCAGCTAGTTGCTATCAATTTACACAGTTGCCTATGATGATTGAAAGGATTTGTGTTATTTTTCAAAAGAATCTTATAGGACAACTTTACATAGTACTACGACTTACAACGCACCAGATTGAGCCGCTTATTGAGACCTCTTGGTGAGCAAATGTTACGGTAGCAAATGGCTACGGTAAACGCCCCCCAGTCACCACATATGCATATATCTCCAGCTACATCTGGGAGTATCTTTGAGCACTGGCTGCCTAATTAGATACGTTATGCAAATGTGTAGATACTGTCGTCGCATCGGTGACGATTCCACCCAAGTCCGTCTCCCTCGCTCTCGGCGAATGTGTGGCCAACAGTTATCTATCCGCCTTATCAGCCATGTACGCACACATTTGTATGTAAATCGGCGGTATATATACACGTATATATGTATATGGGTTGAAGCAATTCACGCCGATCTAGCCGAACCAAAATAACGCTTGGAAAAGGGGAAAACCGAGTATACACTCAACTTACAGAAGCCTAGGGCGATTTTGAAAATGATATGGTGGTTATATATGGTCTGCTTGGCTTAATGCCCTTATAAAGCTAGTTGAGTTATGAAATGTACAACAAAATGGCTTTGATTAAATGCAAGGAATACCCCTTTGCCTAGGGCAATATCGTCATGAGAAAGCGTTGCATAAATTTCAGCTCGAGCTGTTGCGAAATCAATTTCGATTTGATTTGCTGATTTTGTCCGTGGTCGTTGCCGATCAACAGAAACACCCAGCTGGGCAGTTATGTATTCACGTTCACAAGAACCAGATATACACACATTCATATCAATATATATTGTACATATATACGCGTATGTTTGAGTGTGCGGACCAAGCGAGTGCACTAAAAACGAATTTAAGTTAATCAACATTTAAATGGATAATAAAATCAGCGAATGCAGTCCACAAAAAGTTGATTTATTACGCGCCTCCTAGTTTTTTTGACCGCCCAGTGCAATCAATTCAATGTAGAGCAGCAATAACAGATACCACAGCAGCATTACTAAATCTGCACACAATCTATATGCATTTTCAGTTGCGGATATATATAGAACTCGACTGCATATGATTTTGAATATGCCAGCAGTACTGAGTGCACTTTTCACACGAAAATAATTCATTGACGCATAAAAGTGGCCAAGATAATTGGCAACTTTTGGCAAGTCCAATTGATTTCTTGCTTTTGCCAACAGCCAAAACCAAATATTTCAGTTCCTATAGTCACTCAAATTTGGCTGCTAAAGTTTGTGCAGCCAGCTAATATAATTGAGAATGAAATTAGTTTATTTTCCAAGGCATTATTACTCACAGCAATTACACTGATCGTAAAAGCACATCGTTTGCAAAAGAAAAACTACGTCGATTATCTAAGCAAACAAGCGAGGGGAAATACATTTTGTACCCCAAGTGGCAGAGATTAATTTGGGTTTATTTAGTCAATCAATTACAAGTGACTTGACAATTGTGCTTATCAATACGAAATATTTCCATGCCAATTCCACATTTTGCTGTGTCTATCAACCTAACAAATCATTTGTCTGAAGACAAATTCATCAAATGACTCTAAATAAAATCGAAACAAGTGAGTGAGTTTGAAAGTGGCACATGTTTCAAAAACCGATTTCGAATGCCAGCAAGAAATCATTCGGCAGGCTGCCAAAAACGAGTCGCAATCGCTAAAACTATCTGAACGCAGAACCTTATCGCCCAGACACGTAGATAACCGAAAATAAAAAAATAAAATAAAATATTATATATGTGTACATATACTGAGGGAGAGCGAGGGCGAACAAAACAACAACACGAATCGAATTGAATCGAAACGAAAATCGGAGCATATGTTTTCCCTGGAAAGGAGCAAAAAACATTTTTTGGGAGGGCCCATAGTAAGTGGACCAAAAGAGTAGACGTCTGGAGTTTGTGAGGAGTCTGGAGGAGAGTCTGGGCGCAGCAGATGCTCAAGGAACAGATTGTAAACGAATATGATCTTTTGATATGGTGCGCACTCCTCGGCCAGACGACAACGCCAGCAACAACAACTGCAGCGGCAACAAATAGGGGTGCAATTTTTCGGTGTGTACGTAACGGTAGAATACACATTTAGTCGCTGGGCCCTTTTTTCCACGCTGGAAGGAAAGAAGGGATCTCCGAGCCGCTGATGATCCTCGGGATGCCTGCCTGTGCACATGTGTTCTATCTGCTGTCGCAGAACACTCCGTGTGCACGTGTGTGCGCAGAGTATCTATGTGTGTGGAGTATCTGTGTGTGTGTCGTCTTGTCTTGTCATGGGATCGATCTTGATCTCGGCCTGTCTGCAGCAGGTTGATACTTTTAGCATCGGTGCCGGGCACAGAATCCGAGTTTAACGTGGCATGGGGCAACGAACCAGTGCGCAGAAGATCCACTGAACTGTAATTGTCTGTGGGTATTTATGGAAAAGGATCTTGAACTGGTCTTTCATTTAGGGGGCGACGCACGGGGCGCGAAAGGGAGAGGAGGGGCGGGAACTGGGCTCAATTATGATCCAACGATCGTCATGTTCGTCACACATCAAATTAGCGATTATGGCAATAATTCCTTATCATTCGCTTGTGTATTTTGCTCGCAAAATGGTATTCTTAAATAGCTTGAGGGATCTTTAACGTATCTTTAGAGTAGTTCAATGATCTTAACTCTTAAAATAAACTTTTTATGGACTTTGATACTGCGATTAGAATGGCTGGGACAATAATGAACTTTATATACCCACTTTTAAATAATCACAGAAGTTTTGATAAGTGATCTAAGTTGAATCTTTTTGAACAGTACCAAAAAATTACTAATTTCAAGGTATCATTCATGGGTTAAACCTTCAGCTATCCTTTGATCCTCTTCCTCTTAATAATTACCTTAACTTACATCCCAAATTGTAAAATCCTTTTGAAACCCTTTCAGGTAACCCAAAGTGCAGACAGGAAAGCCCCAATTATACATTCTTCAAAACCCAAAGGTCAAGTGAGTAGCACTCCCGTGTATCGGTTTTATTGATACTTAATTGTCTAATGCGATCGTTGTGCTAGATTCTTGGCCCTAACCAAATAGCGTTCACACATTCTCGATTACCAAAACCCCATGGATCGATGGTTTCAAACGCAATCGAGGGGCAGGCGAAGCTCATTTGCGGCACCGGAAGCTGTAAAAGGAACAGTAGTAATTTCGATCGTGTTTCCCACAAGGGTTGTGGAAGTGCCCCACACAAACACACACACATGCACACACATGGACGCACGCAGACGCACACAGGCGGCTAACTAGCTTGGCTATGATGCGGTAGAAAACCAATTCAAATTCTGTTGGCCTGGCCAACAACGAGTTTATAGAGGCAGCAATCCTGAATCGAGGCGAGATCGCGAGATCGGCGGATCTACCGAGCGGTAGCCAAACCAGTTTTCTCCTAGATTCATTCAAGAAAACAGGCAACACCAACACAGAAAGGGTTTACATACACTCGCAAGAAAAAACCATGACTGTAAGTTATTCAAAATATGTTGCAAGTTTCTAGGATAATAAGCAATATTTAAATTCCGTTTCAAAACTGTTGTACTTCAACACAATAAGTTATACAAAATTATAATATTCCTGTTACTTACAATGTTTACTATAATACAACATTCAGCAAATAAAGTTTGAAATTCCTTACAAACTCGGTGGGTTTTTCTTTCGCGTGTAGGGAGAATAACAAAAACTAATACTTGAACTACTGTTTTTCAACACTTCACTTTTCTTACCGGTGCGGGGCAATAAAATAGCGCCCCTTCAAGAACAAGAAGGCGGGGGCTACTGGGCTCTTGGTTTTTTGGGCTGTGGGTTTCGGGTTCTGGATGCTGTGTTCTTTCGGCTGGCCTTTTTATTAGGGTATCCAAATTAATTACAGCTTCAAATTAGGCGCACAATCTTGATGGACTTCGCAGCACCGATGACTATCTCTCGCCCGTTCTCGCTCTCTCTCTCTGTACTTGTGTGCACTATACGTATATATGTGTGTGTTTTAACCCTCCGGTGGGATCAGCAGGTTGATTAGGGGGAGAGAGAGAGGGATTACGTGCCGGGCACAAAGACAAACCGAAAACCGAAAGGAACAACTCGAGAAGAAATCGGGGATCGGTTTAACTCGGCTTATAAGACGCGAAAAGAAACAAACGGAGAAAAGGCCGACGGATCGTTGGCAAACACACACACACACGCACGCGCTACACACACAGGCACACACACGCGATGTTTGAGGAGATTTTTGTGGTTTTATGATGGATTTCGTATTTCCTCTGTTTCTGAACCGTGTTTTTTTTTTTTTTTATTTTTTTTGGTGTTTGCCTTCTTTACTTTGCTGTATATTGCGCGCGCAGATCTTTTGATGTTTCGCTATTGCACTCAATCACACACTTGGTTTTTGCTTGGCTTGCAAAGTGTTTTGCATTTGTTATTTATTTGTTATTTGATTCATTTAATTCATTCAAATCGAATTTACCGTAGCGCAAGTGCACGCTGCCCGAAAGAGAGACAAAAACAGACTGACCGTTGGCGGCAACAGGCGGCAGCGACGCCGACGTTGGCGCAGACGCAGCGTTGACGCCAACGCCGACGCACCTTCGCTCTCCTTCTCACTCTCTCTCTCTCTCGCCGCCGCTAAGATTAATATTTTTTCTTGTTGCTCTGCCGCAAGTGATAACGAAAATCGCAAATTATGAAAATCGAGAGTTCCTCCAATCTGACTTATAAACATTATTCGCTATTCTTCTTGATCACCAGAGATCACTGGAATGAGAGCGAAAAGGCGTGGGCGATCCTCAATCGCGCGCTCTCTTTCGCACTCGCACTAGAGCGTGCATCATGAGCGCTGGAAAAAAATGGAAATCAGAATTACATATTTTGAGCAGCAAAAACAAAGTGTTTGCAGCGACAAAAAAATAGCAACAATTTATAAAAAATCTGCTTGCTCAGAACTCAGTGTAAGTGCGAATATGTGGGATAGTGTGTGGGTGCATGCGCATGTGTCTGTGTGTGTGTGTGTGCGGGCGATCGTTTTTGGCAAGCATTTAAACAGTGTCCGAAAAAGACTAGTATATTTAACTATTAAATATGCAAAGGGGCGGAATAATTAAGACAAATAAATTAACAATTTGGCAAGCATTTAAGCAGTGTGGAAAAATCACTAGTATATTTAAACATTAAATATGCAAAGGGGGCGGAATAAGAAAGCCAAATAAATTTAAAATTTGGCAAGCTCAAAGTCTTTCAAGTGTGTACACTGATAGAAATACCTTAATCTATGTATGATCCAGATATTATAAAAATCTATATATTTTAGGCAAATAAAGTTAACTAGAAAAGAAAAAAGTTTTCCAGATTTAAAAATTCTTTTATATATATTTTAGGCAAGAGTACAGTGATCGAGTGAAAAGTATTTATAATGTTTGAAAAAAAATTGAATTTATGTGTTGTATTTTTTAATCAATTTAATAGTAGTCATACAAATGTAAACCAAATTGGTATAGTTATTTTACTGCCTTAAATTTATAAAATGTATGTGAAAATTTTGATAAATGTTAAAAGTTTGCACACATTGTGTGGGAAAATAACTTTAAGCACCCAAAAAAAGTCCCCCGAAGTTAAAGGCGATATTTTCCCACCGTGACCATGACAACCACTGTGCGTTCGAAAGCCTCTCTTTCTCTCTCTTTCCCGCAAATCAAAAACAAAAACAGGTTTATGTGTGCGCAGTGTGGGTGCGACAGAGAGCGGCGATCTGGAACTGAAACTTACCACAATGTTTTTATATTCCAGCAACGCATTTCGCATAAATAACAAATTACACAGCATAAACGAATGCAAGTGCAGGGGCGGCAGCCAAACAGCCAGCTGCACCCAGAAAAAAAGGGCAATAAGATTCGGGATAACACAACTTGATGCCGTTCCCGATTTTCCCGGCCAAGGGGAAGAGTATACACATAAAAAAAAAACACATAACCAGCCTTGCATAACGAAACACGTGCATTAAAAATATGCCTGATTGTCAACCTCTGCTGCAACTTAATTGCTGCCACAAAGGTAAAACTGAAAAAAACAAAATTAAAAGGGGGGCGACAAGTGCAGCGAAAATAAAACTTAAAGAGCGCATGCGCGCCGCTCTCTCTCCCTCTCTCTCTCTCTTTCGCTCCTCTGCGCTGGAATCTTACAACTCGTGTAGGTGAGCCGGATTTTTATGAATGAATGCGCCTGTGTGCGTGACTGCATGATGCCAATGCAGCGGCGAACTACTAGAAAAAGTTCACATTTCAGCAATGGGAAACTCGAACTGGGCACACATGGCCAACAGGCCGACTCAAGTGGCCAGCAACTGTCCCTTGAGTGACAAGAAATAGGGCATTTAATGCCCATTACACGGAAATTATAGCAAAATGGACGAGCTGCAACGAAATAAACATAAATATTCTGTTTAAAGGATTCTATTCGATTTAAAAAACTCATAAAACTTATATAAATTATAATTTATAGCAGAAATGGTCAAGCTGTAATGAAATAAACATAAAAATTCAGTTTCAAGGATTTAAACTGATTTAACAGCTCATAAAACAAATTATTGAAGTTTATTTTTTATTGATAGCATTGAGGAATAATATAGTCATAGTCATAATATCAGTGGCATTTGTATTAATTAATTCTTTTGATTTCAATTTTCAAAAATTGCAAATTGGCGCCAAATATCCAACTGTCCAGTGCTGTGCAACCGCCAAATGCGGGTATTCTCTCCAACGCGTTAGCACATTTCGTAGACGTTGCAGATTTTTGGCGGCAACAAGTTATTTACATTTATTTATTTTATTTCTGCCAAACAACACGGAAATGGCAGACTCCGGCAAGAGCAAAGTGCTGCAAAATACGGGTAAATTCGTCAGCGAGAATCGCACAGAAGGGTGAGTGGTGGAATTCCAAGGATTTCATGCTGAACATGGGAATATCCACAGCGACGACTTCTTCAATGAGGCGGGCTATCGTCAATCCCGGGAGAACGACAAAATCGACTCGAAATATGGCTTCGACCGGGTCAAGGACAGCCAGGAGCGGACGGGCTACCTCATCAACATGCATGCGGTAAGTCGGGCATGCCCCAAGACCACGAACATAATGTCCACTAATGGGTATGTCCAACGCAGAACGAGGTTTTGGATGAGGACAGAAGATTGATTGCTGCCTTGGATCTGTTCTTCATCCAAATGGATGGTTCCCGCTTCAAATGCACGGTGGCCTATCAGCCGTATTTGCTCATCCGCCCGGAGGACAATATGCATCTGGAGGTGGCCCGGTTTCTGGGTCGCAAGTATTCCGGGCAGATTTGCGGCTTGGAGCACATCACCAAGGAGGATTTGGACTTGCCAAATCATCTATCCGGCTTGCAGCAGCAGTACATAAAGCTATCGTTTCTCAACCAGACAGCCATGACCAAGGTTAGAAGGGAACTCATGTCGGCGGTGAAGAGAAATCAGGAGCGTCAGAAATCCAACACATACTACATGCAAATGCTGGCCACCTCGTTGGCCCAATCCTCCGCGGGTTCGGAGGATGCCACGCTGGGCAAGAGGCAGCAGGACTACATGGATTGCATTGTGGACATAAGGGAGCACGATGTGCCCTACCACGTCCGCGTGTCCATCGATCTGCGCATCTTCTGTGGACAGTGGTACAACATCAGGTGCAGAAGTGGCGTGGAACTGCCCAACATCACCTGCCGACCGGATATCCTGGACAGACCCGAACCAGTAGTCCTGGCCTTCGATATAGAAACCACCAAGCTGCCGCTGAAGTTTCCCGACGCCCAAACGGATCAGGTTATGATGATCTCGTACATGATCGATGGTCAGGGTTACCTGATAACCAATCGCGAGATTATATCCTCCAATGTGGACGACTTCGAGTACACTCCCAAGCCGGAGTTCGAGGGCAACTTCATAGTATTCAACGAAGAGAACGAGATGCAGCTGCTCCAGCGATTTTTCGATCACATCATGGAGGTGCGCCCCCACATAATAGTTACATACAACGGCGACTTCTTCGATTGGCCCTTCGTGGAGACGCGTGCTGCCGTGTACGACCTGGACATGAAGCAGGAGATTGGTTTCTCCAAACTGCGGGATGGCAACTACCTAAGTCGTCCGGCTATACACATGGATTGCTTGTGTTGGGTGAAGCGAGATTCCTATTTACCCGTTGGATCTCAAGGCTTAAAGGCGGTGGCCAAGGCTAAATTACGCTACGATCCCGTGGAACTGGATCCGGAGGACATGTGCCTCATGGCCGTGGAGCAGCCCCAAGTGCTTGCCAATTACTCTGTATCCGATGCGGTTGCCACTTACTATCTGTACATGAAGTATGTGCATCCATTTATCTTCGCCCTGAATACGATTATCCCAATGGAACCCGATGAGATCTTAAGAAAGGGTTCCGGTACACTCTGCGAAACGTTGCTGATGGTAGAGGCTTACCACGCCCAGATTGTGTATCCCAACAAGCATCAGAGTGAGCTAAACAAGCTCTCCAGCGAGGGACATGTCCTGGATTCGGAAACCTATGTTGGTGGCCATGTGGAGGCTTTGGAATCGGGCGTCTTCCGGGCGGACATCCCATGCCGTTTTCGCCTAGATCCTGCCATGGTCAAGCAACTCCAGGACCAGGTTGATGCGGTGCTGCGCCATGCTATCGAAGTGGAGGAGGGCATTCCGCTCGAAAAGGTCTTGAATCTGGATGAAGTGCGGCAGGAGATTGTGCAGGGACTACAAGGCCTGCACGATATCCCCAATCGCTTGGAGCAGCCGGTCATCTATCACTTGGACGTGGGTGCCATGTACCCCAACATCATCCTAACCAATCGCCTGCAGCCATCCGCCATGGTTAGTGACTTAGACTGTGCCGCCTGTGACTTCAACAAGCCAGGAGTTCGGTGCAAACGTTCCATGGACTGGCTGTGGCGCGGCGAGATGTTGCCCGCCTCCAGGAACGAGTTCCAGCGCATCCAGCAGCAGCTGGAGACTGAGAAGTTTCCGCCCCTCTTCCCTGGTGGACCACAGCGTGCCTTTCACGAGCTCTCCAAGGAGGATCAGGCGGCGTACGAGAAGAAACGACTCACGGACTACTGCCGCAAGGCTTACAAAAAGACCAAGCTAACCAAACTGGAAACCCGCACTTCGACCATCTGCCAGAAAGAGAACAGCTTCTATGTGGACACTGTGCGAGCTTTCCGAGATCGTCGGTACGAGTACAAGGGACTCACCAAGGTGGCCAAAGCATCGGTGAATGCTGCCGTGGCTTCTGGAGACGCGGCAGAGATCAAGGCAGCCAAGGGCAGGGAGGTGCTCTACGATTCCCTGCAGTTGGCCCACAAGTGCATCCTGAACTCCTTCTACGGATACGTGATGAGGCGCGGAGCTCGTTGGCATTCCATGCCAATGGCCGGCATTGTGTGCCTCACTGGCTCGAATATCATCACCAAGGCGAGGGAAATCATCGAGCGCGTTGGTCGCCCTCTGGAATTGGACACTGATGGCATATGGTGCATATTACCTGGATCTTTTCCGCAGGAGTTTACCATTCACACGAGCCACGAGAAGAAAAAGAAGATCAACATATCGTATCCGAATGCGGTGCTAAACACCATGGTGAAAGATCACTTCACCAACGACCAGTACCACGAGTTGCGGAAGGATAAGGAAAACAATCTACCCAAGTACGATGTTCGGGATGAGAACTCCATATTCTTTGAGGTGGATGGACCCTACCTGGCCATGGTGTTGCCCGCTGCCAAAGAGGAGGGCAAGAAGCTGAAGAAACGATATGCCGTCTTTAATTTCGATGGCTCACTGGCGGAACTCAAGGGATTCGAGGTGAAGCGACGTGGTGAACTGCAGTTGATCAAAAATTTTCAGAGTTCCGTCTTCGAGGCATTCCTCGCAGGCAGTACTCTTGAGGAATGCTACGCATCTGTGGCCAAGGTGGCGGACTACTGGCTGGATGTACTCTACAGCAGAGGATCGAATCTGCCCGACTCTGAGCTATTCGAACTGATTTCGGAGAACAAGAGCATGTCCAAGAAGCTTGAGGAGTATGGCGCCCAAAAGAGTACGTCCATCTCCACGGCCAAGCGATTGGCTGAGTTCCTGGGCGAGCAGATGGTCAAGGATGCGGGCCTGGCCTGTAAGTACATTATATCCAAGAAGCCCGAAGGAGCACCCGTCACCGAGCGAGCTATTCCATTGGCCATTTTCCAATCCGAGCCGAGTGTGCGACGCCATCACCTGCGTCGCTGGCTCAAGGATAACACCATGGGCGATGCGGACATACGCGATGTGCTCGATTGGAACTACTACATAGAGAGATTGGGTGGCACCATCCAGAAGATCATCACCATACCGGCGGCACTGCAGGGACTGGCCAATCCAGTGCCCAGGGTTCAGCATCCGGATTGGTTGCACAAGAAGATGCTGGAGAAGAACGATGTGCTGAAGCAGCGGCGCATAAATGAGATGTTCACCAGCAGACCCAAGCCGAAACCTCTGGCTACCGAGGAGGACAAGCTGGCGGATATGGAAGATTTGGCTGGCAAGGATGGTGGAGAGGGTGCTGCAGGCTGCCCGATAGTCACCAAGCGAAAGAGGGTCCAGCTGGAGGAGAACGATGAGCCGCAGGCCACCACGTGGCGTCAGGCCCTGGGCGCACCACCGCCCATCGGCGAAACCAGAAAGACCATCGTGGAGTGGGTGAGATTTCAGAAGAAGAAATGGAAATGGCAGCAGGATCAGCGCCAGCGTAATCGTCAGGCTAGCAAGCGAACTCGAGGCGAGGACCCACCGGTGGTCAGAGCCACAGGATCCACAGCCACACTGGGCGGCTTCCTGAGACGAGCACAACGCACCCTGCTGGACCAGCCGTGGCAGATCGTACAACTGGTGCCCATCGACGACCTGGGCCACTTCACCGTGTGGGCCCTAATCGGCGAGGAGCTGCACAAGATCAAGTTGACGGTGCCGAGGATTTTCTATGTAAATCAGCGGAGTGCTGCTCCACCCGAGGAGGGTCAACTTTGGCGCAAGGTTAACCGAGTGCTGCCGCGATCCCGACCTGTTTTCAATCTCTACCGGTATAGTGTACCCGAGCAGCTCTTCCGCGATAACTCCCTGGGCATGCTGGCGGATCTGGCCACGCCCGACATCGAGGGCATATACGAGACGCAGATGACGTTGGAGTTCCGCGCCCTGATGGACATGGGCTGCATTTGCGGCGTGCAGCGCGAAGAGGCACGTCGCTTGGCCCAGCTGGCCACCAAGGATCTGGAAACCTTTAGCATCGAGCAGCTGGAGCAGCGGCCGCAGACGCAGGTCAAATATCTGGCCAGTGCCAACAATCGGTTGCGCAAGATCTACCTCTACCAGCACAACACACCGACGGCCAAGAAGGAGATCTGGTCATTGATCCTGATGCCCAGCAAGAAGGCCTATATCTTTGCCTTGGATACGGTGCGTGCCAACCAGATGCCCAACATGAGGCAACTATATACCGCCGAGCGTTTGGCGCTCCTCAAGAATCTGACAAGCGAGGAGCAAGATAAGATCCCTGTGGAGGATTACACCTTTGAGGTTCTCATAGAGGTGGATGTCAAGCAGATCTACCGGCACATTCAGCGGGCACTGACCACCTACAAGCAGGAGCATCAGGGACCCACCATTCTGTGCCTGCAAACTGCGCTGGCGGCGCGTAAACTCAGCCTGGCCATGCCGATACTGCTGGAGTTTCCCCAGGCCCAGATCCACATCTCCGACGATGCCAGTTTGCTCTCTGGCTTGGATTGGCAGCGGCAGGGTTCCAGAGCAGTGATACGTCACTTTCTGAATCTGAACAATGTCCTCGATTTGATGCTGGACCAGTGTCGCTACTTCCATGTGCCCATTGGCAATATGCCGCCGGATACTGTGCTCTTTGGCGCGGATCTTTTCTTCGCTCGCTTGCTGCAGCGGCATAACTTTGTGCTGTGGTGGTCGGCGAGTACCCGGCCAGATTTGGGTGGCCGGGAGGCGGACGACAGCCGGCTGCTGGCGGAATTCGAGGAGAGCATCAGTGTGGTGCAGAACAAGGCAGGTTTCTATCCGGATGTTTGCGTGGAGCTGGCTCTGGACAGCCTGGCAGTGAGCGCACTGCTCCAGTCGACCAGGATTCAGGAAATGGAGGGCGCCTCCTCCGCCATTACCTTCGATGTGATGCCGCAGGCCTCGCTGGAGGAGATGATCGGCACAGTGCCGGCTGCCACCTTGCCAAGTTATGATGAAACGGCCCTCTGCTCCGCCGCCTTCCGCGTAATGCGCTCCATGGTGAATGGCTGGTTGCGAGAGGTATCGATCAACAGGAACATCTTCTCGGACTTCCAGATCGTGCACTTCTATCGCTGGGTGCGCTCCAGTAATGCACTACTTTATGATCCCGCGTTGAGAAGATCTCTGAACAATCTTATGAGGAAGATGTTCTTGCGCATCATAGCCGAGTTTAAGAGATTGGGCGCCACCATTGTCTATGCGGACTTCAATAGGATTATCCTCAGTTCCGGCAAGAAAACCGTCTCCGATGCCCTGGGCTACGTGGACTACATTGTGCAGAGCTTGAGGAACAAGGAGATGTTCCACTCCATCCAATTGAGCTTCGAGCAGTGCTGGAACTTTATGCTCTGGATGGACCAGGCAAATTTCTCGGGGATTAGGGGAAAGCTGCCCAAGGGAATTGATGAGACAGTGTCCTCAATAGTTTCCACCACAATGATACGGGATTCAGAACGCGACCAAGACGACGAAGAGGATGAAGAGGAGGATTCGGAAAACCGTGATCCGGCGGAGAGCAACGAGCCTGAGCAGGATCAGGATCAGGAGGATGAGCTGTCGCTGGAGCTGAACTGGACAATTGGCGAACACCTGCCCGATGAAAACGAGTGCCGCGAGAAGTTTGAATCCCTGCTGACCCTCTTCATGCAATCCTTGGCCGAAAAGAAGACCACCGAGCAGGCCATCAAGGATATCTCACACTGTGCGTTCGACTTCATCCTGAAGCTGCACAAGAACTACGGCAAGGGCAAGCCCAGTCCGGGACTGGAACTTATCCGCACTCTGATCAAGGCGTTGAGTGTGGACAAGACGCTGGCGGAGCAGATCAACGAGTTGCGCCGAAATATGCTGCGTCTGGTGGGGATTGGCGAGTTCTCGGACTTGGCTGAGTGGGAGGATCCCTGCGACAGTCACATCATCAACGAGGTCATCTGCAAGGCCTGCAATCACTGCAGGGATCTGGATCTCTGCAAGGACAAGCATCGCGCCATGAAGGATGGAGTGTGAGTACACAAACCAGTGCACAAAGTGCTACAAATTATTGATTGCTTGCTTTTGCAGACCCGTTTGGCTGTGTGCCCAGTGCTATGTGGCCTATGATAACGAGGAGATCGAGATGAGGATGCTGGATGCCCTGCAGCGCAAGATGATGTCCTATGTGCTGCAGGATCTGCGCTGTTCGCGCTGCAGCGAGATCAAGCGCGAGAATCTTGCCGAGTTCTGCACTTGCGCTGGTAACTTTGTGCCCCTCATCAGCGGTAAGGACATCCAGACGCTGCTGAGCACGTTCAACAAGGTGGCTGGCAACCACAAGATGCAGTTGCTCCAGCAGACTGTTCATCAGGCGCTGACCACGCCACGCTAGGTCCTTTAGTTTTGCTCCTAAATATATTGTATTTATAATGGAATTTGAATAGATTTTAATGAGTTCCGAGTTCATGATGTCATAGCCAAATCAATACTACCATTAATGCGTCGCTATAAACACTTCTGTATGTTAATTTTATAACATGACAATCCGATGTCTGCGTTTAGGGATACACGCGCTCTATAATCCATTGAGATTCACACGCTTTTAATGGGTTTCTCGTACGAGTCGCTTGTTGTTTTCCCGATTTTATTGATTTTTGTTGACGCGCCCGCGTTTTCGTGGGCAGCTGAACTTAAAGCAATTACACTAACTCATTCGCGAGGAGCGATCTCTACTGCGGTGCCTGGGTGATGGGGTCCACCTTAACATCGGGGAACTGGAACTCGGGGAACTTCAGCATGTCGGTCTTGCCATCGCTGCCAAACTGCTTGGCCACACGGTCCAGTTCGGTCTTCAGCTCCCGCTCAATGTCGGGATTGGAGTCCACCAGCTTACCCCCACTGCAGGCGAGCGAAACATGGATTACTTTGCGACCCACCAGCGGATTGAGGAGCCATAACTTACGCGCTCTTCTGCTTGTACTCGCGCACTTTGTCCAGGAACAGCTGCTGGATGGGATCGGAGGCCTTGTTCAGGGCGGGGGCGACGATTCCAAAGTTACGGCGCGCCTCTGTGCGCAGGACACGCATGCCACTCAGCAGGGATTGCGACAGCATCTGGAATGGATGGATCTTTGTTAGAATAGCACAATTCGGCCTCCTTCGTAGGTAACCTTAAAAAGGTTATGTAATACTATTTGTTGTTTCGACGTTTTCCAAACGGATGTCAAGCTGCCTTTGCTAGGCACTTTATCCGGTATTCAAACTCTACTCCCTCAAATATTTTGCATTTAATTTAAACCTTATTTTCACCTTTTTTTCCTTGGCAAATGCTAACTTTCGTGCGGAAAAGTGACAATTGTTAGTTCACAATAGCAGTTGGTGTTAGTGATGGCCGCGTGACAGGTGTCTGCGATACTATCGCCATGGAGTTGCACGATAAGCTTTTCAATAGTAATGGTATTTTATAAGTAGGAATGTCGTGATATTAAAAAAAATATCGTATCGATGATATTTTTTTTATCAAAAAAAATGATGTCATCTTGCAAGTAATCACACTTAAGAACACATACACTACACTCACTGCTCGACCGGTAAGAGACATTACTTGAAATATTTTGTGACTATAAATTAGAAGACATGCCTTACAGTCCTCACTAGAACTAGTTGGGAATTATAGGGCTACAAGAAAATATGTTTCCAGTAAGTTAAACATTCTTCAGGCTTTAATTAAGAAAATGTTTACTACTTTGTGCAAGTAACACATACACTATATATGTACATACATGCATACATGCATACATGCATACATACATACATACATACATACATACATGCATACATACATACATACATACATACATGCATACATACATACATACATACATACATACATACATACATACATACATACATACATACATACATACATTCATACATACATACGTACATACATTCATTCATACATACATACATAATTACATACATACATACATACATACTTACATACATACATACGTGCGTACATACACTACACATACACTACACTCACTGCTCGACCGGTAAGAGAGATTACTTGAAATATTTTGCGACTATAAATTAGAAGACATGCCTTACAGTCTTCACTAGAACTAGTTGGGAATTATAGGGCTACAAGAAAAGATGTTTCCCTCTGAAGCAAATAACCAGGCAAATTTTATTCATACAAGTGTTTGAAATGTTATAACTCTATTTTTGTCTGTCTGTTCTTCTATTTTACTATAAATTTGTAACCAAAACTGCACCAAAAGCGTACCAAAACAGCGCTCAAACTGTACAAAACTCACCAAAGCCAAAATCCGATCTATAATGAATATAAATAAATGCTAATGTGTTCCTGAATAATAATATTAACTAAAAAAGCTTCAAATTATTTTGTATTCACCCGTTTTTATACCAGAGTGACCATCAGGCGAATGAGAAGTGTGACCAGAGAAGTGTGTCGCTGGCGCGCTCTGGTCACACTGCTCGTCCAGGTTCCACGTCAAGCGCCGGAAAAAAAACACGACTTGCATTTAATCAATTTATCTGGCGACCGGACGAACGGATTTGAAGCAAGATGGTGAGCCTGCTGCAAGAGATCGACACCGAGCACGAGGACATGGTCCACCACGCGGCGCTGGACTTCTACGGCCTCCTGCTGGCCACCTGCTCCTCGGACGGCAGCGTCCGCATCTTCCACTCGCGCAAAAACAACAAGGCGCTGGCGGAGCTCAAGGGACACCAGGGACCCGTGTGGCAGGTGGCCTGGGCACATCCCAAGTTCGGCAACATCCTGGCCTCGTGCTCCTACGACCGCAAGGTGATCGTCTGGAAGTCCACAACGCCCCGGGATTGGACTAAGCTGTAAGTAAACGGGCACACCCATACCAACAAAGTGATGGCTGTTTGAGGAAACGACCAGAGGACACCCATTGTTAGGTCCATATATAAAATGAATGCCTTTTTTTTACATTTGAAACGCTTTCGGAACGCATTAATGCTTCAATATTTATGCTAAACAGTTTTGTTTGTTTCTTTCCGGTCGTAGCATTTTAAAGAAAACAAATGTATAAGTTCTGTCAATTATAATACTTTAAATCAGGGCATGGAAAGTATTTGAGGAGAATAATATGATTTTCTCATATATGTATATATCTTTGTTTCCATTGAGTTGTTCCCTCTGTCACAACACACTTAAATTATCTATTATGCCCGAGATAACAGGGTAGCAAAGCGCCGTGTCATACATATGTTTAGATTGCTGTTATCATTTAAAGAGTGCCACATCTAACCTCTGTGCTTGCCACATTTCAGCTACGAATACAGCAACCACGACTCCTCGGTGAACTCTGTGGATTTCGCGCCTTCGGAGTACGGATTGGTGCTGGCCTGCGCCAGTTCGGATGGCTCGGTTTCGGTGCTCACCTGCAACACGGAGTACGGTGTGTGGGATGCCAAGAAGATACCGAATGCGCACACGATCGGAGTGAACGCCATATCGTGGTGTCCGGCTCAGGCTCCAGATCCGGCATTTGACCAGCGGGTAACCTCGCGTTCGACGGCCGTGAAGCGTCTGGTGAGCGGTGGTTGCGATAACTTGGTGAAGATTTGGCGCGAGGACAACGACCGCTGGGTGGAGGAGCACCGCCTGGAGGCGCACTCCGATTGGGTGCGCGACGTGGCCTGGGCGCCGTCGATCGGACTGCCTCGGTCGCAGATTGCCACGGCTTCGCAGGATCGCCATGTGATCGTGTGGAGCAGCAACGCTGATCTGTCACAGTGGACCTCGACTGTGCTGCACACGTTCGACGATGCCGTGTGGAGCATCTCGTGGTCGACCACCGGCAACATTCTTGCCGTCACCGGTGGCGATAACAATGTCACATTGTGGAAGGAGAACACGGAAGGCCAATGGATCCGCATCAACTATGAATCGGGCACGGCCATCCAATCGAAGCAGCCCTCACACCTTCCCCATTCCCACTCTCAGCAACAGCAGGCGCCACAACAGCACCAGCAGCAGGCGCCATCGCATCCAGGTCCGTCCTCCGATTCGGAGCACAGCTCGAACCTATCCAACTCGCAGCTATCCAACTGAGCCAGTCCTGAAATATTGTCGTGCTGATGTCGTGGTTAAAAGTGTTATCTTACAAATATATATACGAAATACAATTTAATGTGCCCCCTCTGAACTCTGCTTAGTTTGTTTGCAAATACCCGGTTTTATTTATTTGCATTTGAATGTTCTGAAATTATATTGAGTTCAAAAACAAGTTATTTTCTTACTTATAAACGTTACTATAGTTTTCTTGAATGGATTTGCCAATTATTTTTTTTTAGTTAGTTTTTTATAGTTTTAGTTTTTTATAATAGTCAATAATAAGATTTAAAATCATGAAACCAATGGCAGACAAACTTATTATGAACAATACTTATGAAATCTGAAAAACATTAAGTAAAATTTCGATTTTTTTTTTTAGCATTTTACGTTCTGTGGTTTGTGCACAAACTAATAGTAAGCTAGTTCACGAAACAAATCTCTTAAATCAAGTACTGTAAATTAATGTCGGTAAAGATGGAGCAGAACCAGCAAATAGTTGAATTATATTTTCAGTTATAAGTAATGTAAATAATTGTTAAATTCAATAGTGAATAAGTGCTATTTTTTTAAACCGAAGTAGTATATAGTAGTATTTATTTGCAGGCCGGGTGGTATTTTTTGCCGTCTCTCGCGCGGTCACACTGGCATCTTTCTTTTCTGCGCACCACGTTTCCGATTCGACGTCAAAATGAATACGACCCTTCCGATTTCCAAGAAACGCAAGGTAAATGAGGAAAAACGGGCCAGGATTGGCACCGGCATGTAGCGCAGTGTCCGTGCGTTCGTTGTTTCACCGGAGTTGTGTGAAAAACCCGGCCGGAAAGTGCGAAAACTCTTCGGCTTCGGAGTTAACCTCAAAGCAGATGGGCGTCCCAAAAAAATGTTGGAGCTCAACAACGCGTGGTGAAACAACAACACAACAAGGAGGATGATTGCTTTATGTGCCATGGATATGGAATGCGGATTATAATGGTCTTGTTCTTTCCCCGATACAGTTCGTTTCCGACGGCATCTTCAAGGCTGAATTGAACGAGTTCCTGACTCGCGAACTCGCCGAGGATGGCTACTCCGGCGTGGAGGTCCGTGTGACCCCCTCCCGCACTGAGATCATCATCATGGCCACCAAGACCCAGCAGGTGCTGGGAGAGAAGGGCCGTCGCATCCGGGAGCTGACCGCCATGGTGCAGAAGCGTTTCAACTTCGAGACCGGACGCATTGAGCTGTACGCCGAGAAGGTGGCCACTCGTGGCATCTGCGCCATCGCCCAGGCTGAGTCGCTGAGGTACAAGCTCACCGGAGGACTGGCCGTTCGTCGTGCTTGCTATGGTGTGCTCCGTTACATTATGGAGTCGGGAGCCAAGGGTTGCGAGGTCGTCGTGTCCGGCAAACTGCGTGGTCAGCGTGCCAAGTCGATGAAATTCGTCGATGGCCTGATGATCCATTCGGGAGATCCGTGCAACGACTACGTCGAGACCGCCACCCGTCATGTGCTCCTGCGCCAGGGAGTGCTCGGCATCAAGGTCAAGGTCATGCTGCCCTACGATCCCAAGAACAAGATCGGCCCCAAGAAGCCGCTGCCCGACAATGTGTCCGTTGTGGAGCCCAAGGAGGAGAAGATCTACGAGACGCCCGAGACGGAGTACAAGATCCCCCCGCCCAGTAAGCCACTGGACGATCTGTCCGAGGCGAAAGTTTTGTAAACCTAGTTTTACTGTTCATCCAATGAGCGACTAGCTGAAAGAGTTGCCCTCAAATACAACAAAACGACAGAAACAAAACAAACACCCATAATTCAATAAAACAAAATCAATAAGTAATAACCCACTTGTGCAGTGCAGTGTAGAGTGCGAGGGTCGGCCCTAAAGTTGCCTCTGTCCGATATGCAAACCTGTTTCCCAAAACCAAGTGGCCTCAAGAGGAGCATAGCTTTCGAAACTCAGGCTGGAAGTCGGTTTAATCCGTCACTTTTGCAACGATGCGATCATAAAATATGCTCATTGACGACTAGAAGGAAACAGTTTGGCTACTAGAGTCGTATACCTTTCCATTTTATCAGAATTAAAGTAATTATCTTTTTTAATTTTAATAACCTTAGAAGTTAGATGAATATTCCAACCATAGGAGCATACTGTGCAGTTTTTAGAGATCGGTTGATTTAAAATAGAATGTCCGAAGAGTAGAGAGGGCATCATGAGTTCGGCTTGCCGAATTCATTTCACTTTCCTGCTTCGCATCGCCATGGCGCGTTTTATATCCATTTCTTGTGAAGCGGAAATCAGCGATTAAAACGGCTCACATTTTGT